TGTTACACGGTCAGAGTTGGTGAAAAATAAGAATAGTAAAAACTGTGTGGTTGAGATTTGTTCAGAGGAGAGAGAAATGTGCAGAAACACAAATTAGTTGCTTTAGTAAGAAAGTGGCAAAGTTTTTTGGGACAACCAAAAAGAGAAAGTTGGCAAAGTCCAATGGGACGGAGGGAGTATGAGTTGGGAAATGAGGCATTTAGAAAAGTGCGTAATAGCTTTAACAAAAAACACAAGCTTTGAGTTGAAAAGTTGTCTAGCACAAGTGTTGTTGTGTATTTGTAATGGATGAGAGTATTTACATACAAAGAGTGCATTTGGCATTACATTACCTGACTAACTGGTTAGTTTTCCTACAAAACTCTGAGTTATGTGGCTTCAGTAGTTGAACTGCCTTGTACTTAGAAAATAGTGTAGAAGTTACATTTGACCGAAATGAAGATATATAAATTACTCTTGATCTTTTTTACAACTTATTTCCTTAAAATAAATCTTTAGATTGTTTAACGTAATCGAGCTCATTAATTCTTTTCAATCACAATTTAAGCAACTCCGCCCTATTTAACCAAATTTCCTCCATCCAGACAAGGTCCAATTGTACATATCATAATGCAGAGAGTGAGAGTCCAAGTAATACATGAGGCCTTTCTTTTAAACTTAATTATTTAATTGCTGATCAGTTGCTACTCAGTCCTAGAAATTGTCAGAGTTGTTTACCTACACCGCAAGTACCGGACATGGTGAGTAACTTGTTCACTTTTAAATTGGAAATAAAACTTTCATCATTGTGGGATTGCAATAGAAGTTAAAGATTCAAATTTATAAAATACTTTTTCAAGGTTCTAATATTCGTAAAACTACAAATATCAAGATGTGTTTGGAGTTTGGACAAGAAGGAGGATGAAGATCATGCTAATCTCTATAATGAATAGTTTAATCTAAAAATGCTTTATGAATCATGCTCCTTAATTCCTTATTGTTCATTTTTTGCTTTGTGTGTGGGCAAGACTTATAAGACTAGTATTACTAGAAATTTAAGGCATGTGTGTTAAATTATACCTATGCATGGGCAGAGTAATCAATGGTTACTCCCTAGATCCCAGTAGTCATTCCTAATGGACCTTTGACTGGGTAGCGGTACCGAGACGACACCGAGTAGCGGTTTGACTGCTTAGTCATCTGTGGTTCTTCTTTTGTCAGGATTTCAGCTCTACAACCTGGGACATCAAAGCAACTCCGACCTTCTTCTTCCTTAAAAGCGAACCAGGAAATGACAAAATGGCAGAAATCGACAAACTGGTGGGAGCTAATAAGCCGGAGCTTCAGAAGAAGATTACATCAATTGTAGACACCAGAGCTCCCCCGGCCCAGAAATAAGCATTTATGGAATTGGTTTTCTTTAGTTTCTGTGAGCTTCTTAAATTAGTTTTTTTCTTCTTTTATTAAAATTCAAATCTATGTATATTGGCATATTGCAATTGTAAATGTGACTAAGGTTTTGGATGGCACCATAAATAACTCCATGAAAGAAGGGTTGGTGAAATAAATGCACTTTTTTGCCATGTGCTCATGATTTATGATACGAGTCATATTGGGACGGTTCTGATTCTGATTTTATTAGTTCAGCTGTCCAGATTCAAGAGTTTTAATTGAAACCTTGTGAACACTTGAGAATTCAGATCATATGCATATACTGATTTTTTTTCATGTACTCAACTCATTTAGATAATTTTAAGCACGAATATTTTTAAGAGAATTAGTATTTACAAATTACAAGAGTACAATCTTCTAACACCGCTCAGTGGGCAAGATTACAGATAATGTTTTACACCATAAATAATGGTCCGAGTTCTGATCTAGAACCATGACCCTGGCCAACCGTACATATTCTGTAATAAATTTGTTAGCTTCAAATATACTATGTAATACTCATTCATTCCTTTATAATTTTGCGGTTTTAATGCCTTTAATTTCTTTTGTTGTCGTCTTTCTAACTTTGTCATTTTTCTTTCAAATAAAGAATTTAAGGTCCTTGTTAAATCTCTTTTCTTTGTATAAATCTCAACGACATATTTTATTATTTTATTATTTTGTCTCACTCAACTTTGACGAAGTTACTCCGTATATGGAAGAAGAGAGTATTACCACAATCCTTAAGTGAAGTTCAATTCATATTAAAAAAATGAGTTGTTTTTTCCTAAGAAAAAGAGTTGTTTCGAAGCGAGAACGAGTAGATATGAATTGAACTTCACTTAAGGACTATGGTGGTGGTGGTGGTGGGCAAGAGCTGTGCTTGATGTATACATTTTGGTGTACACCTTTTGTACATTCGTCTGTTTTGTGCACACAGAATTGTTTGTACACAGATAACTTTGTAGAGTCTTAGGATCTGTACACAGACCCTCGTCTATCATGGGCAAAGCTCCTCGATTTATACTCTAGGATCTGTCCTGCACACATACACAATCTCAAAGTCGGCCTATGTACGGTAAAGTGTATTTAGAATAATGTGGGAACAAATTAAAATTGTCTATTTTTTTTCAATGAATCTCAAAGATTGTTTCATACCAAATTTGATAAAATTTTTGTAGTTCTAACTTATTCTTATTTTATTTTTAGTTTATCAATTCAATAACAATAACATAATTTCACTTTTTTTTAATAAACGTACTACATCCTCATATCCCAATGTTAATGGAATGAAAATAGTAATAGTAATATTTAATAGACAAAGCTAAATAAACGTTCCTAAAAAAAAGATAAATAAACGAAAAATTGACATTCAAAACGTTTTCACCTTAGACTCGATTATTAGATGGGTTACAAGCTAAGTTTTCTGTCCTTTTTTAAAATAAAAAACCCAGATTTAGAAACAAATAAATTCTGAAATGAAGTTTGATGTTGACTGTTTTTCAAAACAAAAACGATTAGTACAAGTATATTAATTTAATTCATTAATTATACATGTAACTTTTAGAATTATACTCCCTCTTGGAATATTCCCGGTTTGACCTACACACATATTAAGGAAATAAATTTACCAAGGGGTAAATTTTACTGTTTGGACACTGTTTGGACACTGTTTGACACTGTTTTGCACTATTTGATACTGTTTTGATGTATGATAACTTTCCATTTAGGAACTTTCCATTGGGACATCCAAAAAAGGAAAGTGAGAACATTCTAACGGGACGTAGAGAGTATATTACGAGTATTATATAAAAACAACTGGCAACCACTATAAACATGGCCCTACTTTTTAGTCGGGAAGTGCTATACTTCGTAATAAGCATTGACATTTGTATGAAACAAAGAATTTGGACAAACTGGAAGCGTGTATGGGGCTGGTCGGGGAGACCATGCTGTTCAAGATTTATGACAAGGAGTGAAGGAGGATGCAACAATTATCACCATCATCAATATTATTATCATTATTATCATCATCATAATTGTTGTTAGGGAAAATCACACTTGTAATCCTTCAAATAGTCACCATATTGAAATGTCAGACTTATATTTCCGAGATTGTAAATGTCAACCCTCAATTGTCCAAATTGATATAAATGTGGTCCTTTGAAGGGTGAAATGTACTCCTCACCAAATTGTACATTTCACCCTTCAAAGGACCACATTTACAACAATATGAATAATTAAGAGGCGACATTTACAAACACCAAAATACAGGTATAACATTTCAATATAATGACTATTTCAGGGACTTAAAGTGCGTTTTCCCCTTGTTATTCTTATTACTTCATACTCCGTATTTGGTAATATAGTTTTTTTTATCTTATTAACCAAATTCTACTAGAATCTAATTTTTTTCACTTATCATGGTGAATCGGATATAATGAAATAGTAAAAGTGAATATACTTTTTCAATTAAATTAAGGAAAAATAATTAAAACACCCTAAATTTTTAAGTGGTATGAGATAAATACCCCAAACTTTATATAAAAAGTTATTCCAACACCATGGTCATGTATCATTTTTCCCATTAAATTAATATGAATTTGCCTGATTATGTAATTGCATTCACAAATTAAAGGGCAACTCAGTGTGCATGTCGTCTTGAGGAAGGGTCTCACTACAAGAATCTATATATAAGCCTATAAGGAGTAAATGTTCCCTTATTATTTTGACAAACCGCCACTCTTAAGATGCGGGTTAGGGTGGCGCTTGAGGAACTAGGAAGGTCACTTCGTGGCAGGGGCATCAAACCCATGGCCAGGAGTGCTGACAGCGTTGGGTGTCGAGCTCGTAAGCATCCGGGAGGCGTTGAGTTGGTTAAAGGAGTATGGAATTACCTCAGTGGAAATTGAATCTGATGCAGATGGGACAATTTCAGAAATCCAAGGAGGTTCAAGTTGCTCTTCGGTGGGACTTTTGAGAGACAGCATTAGAGATATAGCAGATTTATTTTTGTTCATTTCATTTTGTCATGTGAGGCGATCAGCGAATAAGCCAACTCATTTGTTAGCTAGGGCGGCTAGCTTGTTCTTTGTTGATTTGCAGTCTTGGGTTGAATTTCCTCCTGCTTTCATTGTTTCGGCTTTAGCCAACGATTTAATTAATGATAATTAACTATCTTCCATTCAAAAAAAAAAGATTTGAAACCGTAACCTTTTAATCTCACAACACCATAATTGGTGCGCTAAAGCTCCACTTTTTTTTTTATTTTCATTCATCTTCAAACAATTTCAATTTTTCAATCTGACTCAATGAATTTTGCGTTACAAAGTGACTCATATTAATATCATAATTATCATTATTGTAAGTTCGGTATTGTTGCCTTTATCGCAAATATATTATCGGTTTCTCAAAAAGGGGTGTATACATTAATATCTACAAAAACATATAGTGTAAAGTGTAAACACGTATTTGCAACAAATGGAAGCTAGTGTTTAGCGATACCCAAAATGTGAAAAATTAGGACGGTCCAGGCGTAGTGATCTTATTGTCGGTGTTCTGGAAAATAAACAAATTCTATAGTCCATACTCCATAATAACAAAATAAGAATCAACATCTATATTTATGTGTATGTATATATATGGAAATAATGATAACGACATTAAAACATCACAACCGAACAAAAGCTCTTCAACGTTATGGGTACAAAGAACAAGCACATTTCTTTCCACTGTCAAGCTGTAAATTCAACTTGCAAAAAAAGTATGTGAATTAATTGAAGGCGATCCTTCCTAGCATTAAGAGTAAAAAAGAATAATAGTAATATAGTACACACTACATGATTGGATTAAGATTTGGTCAACGGCCCTTGGGGTTCATGATCTGTGAGAAGACAACACTGGGTGTCAGCCCGTCCGAGTCCTCGCTGGCGACACTCCGACCCCCGATACTCATCGATATACCACTGCTAGAATCAGTCGTCACGCTTCCATCAAACCCGGTATGGGACGAGGCATCGGGATCCTTCTTTGCTTTATTATTGCCAATGGCACCGTACCCATCTTCAACCTTGTCAATTCCCACAATGCCCTTCCCGCTCTCCTCAGCGCTCTCTTGAAGCTGTAGTGCAAACTCAAGGTTCCAAAGTACATCCCCCATGGACGGCCTTTCGGTCCCCACGTCGCTCACACACTTGACTGCCGTCTCCCCAAATTTCTTGAAACATTCTGGCGCGATCTTACCTTTCAAATACGGGTCGGTTAGCTGGTCAAGAATACCCTTAGTGTGGCAATGCAATGCCCATTCCGCTAAGCTCACTTGCTCCTTCGGTAGAGTGGGGTTCAAAGCCGGGCGCGCACACAATATCTCAAAAAGGACGACTCCAAATGAATAGACATCTGATTTTTCAGTGAGTTGCTGTCTTCTGAAGTATTCGGGATCCAAATACCCAAAACTACCCTTCACCACTGTACTTACGTGGGTGTGATCAAGAGTGGGGCCCGTCTTCGACAGCCCAAAATCTGAAACCTTCGCCACCCACTTCTCATCCAAGAGGATGTTAGTAGTTTTCACATCACGGTGGATAATGGTGTGTTTCGCGCCAGTGTGGAGATAATGCAACCCGCGGGCTGCGCCTATGCAGATCTCTAGCCTTTGCTTCCATGGTAATGGGGGCTTTTGTGTCTTGTAAAGATGCTCACGCAGAGTCCCATACGCCATATAATCATACACAAGAATCATCTCACAGTTCTCTTCACAGTAACCAATCAGAGAGACGAGGTGACGGTGACGAAGCTTAGAAAGCATTTCAATTTCTGTTTGGAATTCGTGAATGCCTTGTTCTGAAAGTGGGTTACCACGTTTAATGGCAACTTTTACACCCCCATCAATCTCTCCTTTATAAACTTTCCCAAAACCTCCAACTCCGAGAAGAAGAGCTTCGTCAAAGTTTTTAGTGCCCGCCTTGATCTCTGCAAATGAGAAGTGCCGGCAAAGGTTTGCGGGAAGTGAGGAGGCATAACTTCCGGTCGTGTTTGTCTTAGCAGAAGCTGTAGAATGAGAGTTTCCATACAAAGAAAGAGGAAGCCAACCAGATTGTGCGTCACTTGTGCTTGAAGAGTCCTTTCGGCGGTTACGTCGGCGGGAGACAAAACAAATGACCAATCCAATTAGTAGGAAAGCAAAAATTCCACCGCCTACCCCTCCTCCGATAGCTGCTTTGTGATGATTTTTTGAATTCCCTGTCAATGAAGATGGGAGAAATGGTTCGATATATGGTTGCACGTAAGGGACTGGATTAGGACCTGCAAGATTTCCCGTAGTGTCGTTGATTTTGAATATCTCCAATCCGTTCAAGATTGCGTCAAGATAGTTAGATCCCGATTTTGGATGCAATTCAAGCCAAAGATCCACCTGGGTATCCCCGGGCGGAAATGACACTACATAATCCTTATAAGTGGGGACTCCGTTTTTACTCGCCCAAGCGATTGCATCGGCTTCCGGCTCAGCAGTTTGATTGTTGAGGTAGATGGTAAAAACCCTCTGGTTGATCTTAGTGATGACGTTCGTGATCTCACAAAAGTGGAGCCTCACGAGGTAGAAAAACCCGGAGTCAACTGAGAAATACCAAGTCAAATTGTAATTCACATTCACACTAGCATTCGGACCCATCGACCTAAGAGTCTTGTACACATCCACAGGGGCAACATAACTCGGCATTCCATCCGGGTAAGTGATCGTCAAGTTATAATCATCTGCTGTCTCCGTGACTCCGACCCCTGCGGAAAATATATATTTTGTATCTTCATCCCACGACCTAAACATCCCGGTGTCACTCGCAGGTGATATCACATTGCCACCGACATTCACACGATAAAGGCTCTCAAGGGAGGTGCTGTTGTCAACAATGAACGACGCGGATTGTCCAACAAGCACTGCATTCCCGTCCTCAGTGTTGTAGATATCAGGGTGCGAAATCACCTCAATGCCATTCACGAATGCGAAAGAGTTTGGGGACGGCATGAACGTCACATTTAGAGTCTCAGACGGAACATTTATCGAAAACTCCTTCAAGAGATAATCATAGTTCAGAGCTTGAGCAGTCTGTGATGCACTAAAGTTGCGCATAAGTGAGTATTGTCCAACAGTTACCGAGAAGAGTGAGGAGGTGGTGTTGAGGGCATTATAGGTAGCCGGGTAGAAATATAGTCGGAGGAATTTTCGACCGGGCGCGACCGGGAAGCTATAGGTGAAGTTTGATTGGAACGTACGGGCGGACATGAATGGAGTTTGAGGGACAGATGATTTTTGAGCATCTGCGGAACCTGTGGATGACTTGCCAGTGGAGAGGATGAACTTTGACCCAATATCACTGGTCCACTTCCTACCATCCAGGTCTGTGTCGCCTTCCGGGCCTCCACAGTTCAATAGAATCTTATCAGTTGGCACATAATCGGCTGCTAAAGACACTTGAATAAACTCTCCGAGTAACATAAAGCTCAAGAACAAAAGGATGAAACTATTGTCGGCAGCCATTGATGTCCCAGAAAAGTCTGCAAAACGTTTCTGGAAAAAAACACCAACAAACCCGAATCAATTAGTAGCTCAATAACAACTAAACAGAGAAAAGCATGAATCTTTTCAGAAATCTGAACATTTTAAAGCTTCCAGAAGAGTTCTATGAGACCCAAAAACAAAATTCCAAACATAAGATCGAGACTTCCATTCTATTCATATTCACTTCTATGTTCTAATTGCAAGCCTGTAACTCGAATATACCCATAAAATCTAAAGAAAACATTTTTATATATTTCTATTTAGTGTTTACCGCTCAGGCAAAGCTAAGATGCCCAGCAAGGAAAAAAGGGGAAAAGAGTTCATATATATATCTATGCAACTCGCAAAGAAAGCTATGATTTTGATGTTCCTTGAAGCTAAGTTAGGAGACAACTTTCAGATCCATTGAAATGAAGCAGCTAAGACGAACGAAAACACACACAAAAAGACTAGAATTTAGAAGCAAATTACCCGAGAGATAAGGAAGAAGAGCAGAGGCAGAGATCCAGCTACACGAAAAACAGCAAACTTCAATCCATTTCTGTAATGACCCCAAAATTCAACGCTCTTTAGGAATCAGAGAAAAAGCAGAAGATGAGTTGTGAGAGAGAAAACAACACATATTTGACTATCTGAGTGGGTCTTTTTTAGTCTCATACAGATAATACACTTCTTGTTTTACAATTATTTAGAATATTTTATGAATAGCTGTTATTAAAATATTATTCAAAGTAACTCATAGGTAATAATGTTAATAAATTTTCATATGCATAATCTCATTGCAATTAAAGTGAAAAACTAAAATAATAAAAATCACTATAAGTCAATAAGTTAAGGTAGAAACAAAATTTGTGAAAGTGTTTTACCATTCAAACATGACAAACCAACCTAAATAGGACTAAAAATGTTTGTATAATCCAAAATAAGATTATCCTGTTTCTATTCTCAAAGTAGAAGTAATTACTGAGATGTTTTAATTTGTAGTATCAAACTTTAAACATGACAATTTTTTTCAAACTTGTTAGTAATTACTAATATTTTGAAATAAAAAATATGGAAGTTTTATTTTGGAATTCTCAAACATTTTTATTCCTACTTCAATAATTTTCCTTTCATATATTATACATAGTACTAAGTAAAAACAAAGGTAGAACTCAATTTTAGAACATACCAAAATATAAAGCGGGAAATTCATTCAGAAATGAAGTGAATACTGCTTTTATCTTGTAGTCTTGAATTCGGTCTAAGAGTCTGTTCTATGATCCATATTATTATCTTATCAGTTAAACTTTTTTTATTAAATACACAACATTCGATTTTGGATGATAAATAATTTAATAATCACAATATGTAAAGTTGAAGTTATTTTCTCGTTGAGATTGACCAGAGTTACTATAGATTTATTTTAACCATTTTCAAATTACTTTCTCTTTAGTTTATTAATAAATTTTATTTTAAATGAAATTTTAGAATTAATTTCACTTTTAATCATAAGAGTTTTATGCAAATATCACATTTAGTCATTATATCTCATTTTATCAATTTTTGGTACTTAACTACTAACTCTTGACCATTATGGTCTTTTCGTTCTATTTTCCGGTGCCTTTTTGGCAATTTTAACTAAAAGCATTTTTTTCGCCCTCTTAAATGATGATATTTTCAGCCCTCTCTATTAGGCTGCATGTGGCAAATCAATTCATTTTAATTTTGGAATTGTTATAACATTTTCTTTTATGGTTCAATTAAAAAACTATCAGACTTTTTAACTTTTTATGATATTAATATTGCATTTTTTAATTAAAAAATTACCTAAAAATATATATATATTTGGAAAGATCCTAAGAAATATAAATTTCGATATAGTTTTTAGGGAAAACTATCAAATAAGACCCCGTACTATACTGAAAAAGTCAATTAGGTCCTCGTACTTTACAAACACTCAATTAAGTCCTCGAACTATTGAAAAACGTTTAATTAAACCCTTTCGGTCGGTAAGTCACCGGTTTCTCGGTTTAACAGCGACGACAGCGACGATGTGCTCGAACCCCAGCAACGGCGGCTGCCGGGAAACAGGTTACATTTAACCGGGAAACCGGTGACTTACCGACCGAAAGGGCTTAATTGAACGTTTTTTAATAGTTCGATGACTTAATTGAGTGTTTGTAAAGTATGAGGGCCTAATCGACTTTTTCGGCATAGTACGGGGGCTTATTTGATAGTTTTCCCTAGTTTTTATAAGAATTGCAACATACTCCATATGTAATTTAAGAAATACCGAGTATAACAATTTTAAAAAAGAAAAAGATTGCAATGCCACCACATGACAACCAACAAAAGATAGGGTGACTATCACCCTCTTGAGAGGTGAACAAAAATGCACTCATTTTAATCACTCAAAATATATTAACAGAATGATCATATATGGATGAAAAGCAATAGGCACACACAAAAATGATACTACCTCCGTCTCATTTTATGTGTCTTAGTTTGACTAGACACGATTATTAATGAAGTGGTTGAAAAAGTAAAAGTTGTGGTTGAGATTTGAGTATGATAAAGTGAAATGGTGTAGACCACATATTTCTTTCCAAAAGAGGAAAGAAGACACTTATTTTGGGAGAACCCGAAAAGGAAGGAGTACAGGTAAAATAGGACGGAAGGAGTAAAAGTCAAATATATTGATCAATTATGGAATTGATGCAATACTTGTAGAACAAAAAGTGTAATTTATCTAAATTGTACTCTGTATAATTTTATCATAATTAAGCAGAATCATGATGTTTTCTTTTGGACTTAAATTTGCTGGTCTGGTCTGGTCTGATCTGGTAAATTTTTGGTCTTTATGTATTTTATTACTATAGATGTCTAGTTTGATCTGGTCTGATCTGGTCTAGGACTGAAAACAGTCAAGGGGGCGTTTGGTATGAAGTAAAATAATTACTTCGCATGCAAAGTGTAGGGATGTAAAATGTTTACATTGTTTGGTTGGGTTATTTAATGTAAACTGTATGACACTTTTTAAAAACATTTCGCACTGTACCATGCAAAGTATTTTACATAGGGGGAGAGTGGTAAAATACTTTGCATCCTTTTTATAAAGCACTGCAACGCCTTTGCATGCAAATAAAAAATAAATGAAACATCTAACCAAACAATGTAATCTATTTTACATGCAAAGTGATTGATTCCCTAAACTTTGCATTCAATCATTTTACGTGCAAAGATTTAACATGTAAACTTCCAAACGGGTCCTAAAGAAAACATCCTCAGTCAAATTAGTTGTTCCCGTAAAAAATTCTCCAGTTTTGACGGATTCAGCTAAATTAAGTAATTTGATTGTTATCAAACATACTCTAAATCCTTACGGTTGTAGATCTTATGTAAGCTCGATACGTTGTTTTCTTTATTCATTATTCCTTTTTCATCTGATCTCTTACATGTCTCACAAATACTTTTATGAAAACAATCAAATTAGTTTGGGAAAACTGTCAAATAGGTCCTCGAACTTTCATAAAAAAGTCAATTAAGTCCTTTTATAGGAGACTCTGTCTGGTCATCGCGATTTGGGGCGGTTCCCGGTGGAATTTTTTGATGAAATTGTTTGAGCATCTTATTCATCAAGTCTAGTTTACTCATACCAAATTTCAGCTAAAAATTCAATCGGGAGCACATTCAAATTAATATGAGAACTCAAAAATGCACAGTTATCTTCAAGAATTAATTTGAATGTGTTCCCGATTGAATTTTTAGCTGAAATTTGGTATGCGTAAACTAGACTTGCTGAATAAGGTGCTCAAAACATTTCATAAAAAAATTCCACCGGGAACTGCCCCAAATCGCGACGGCCGGACAGAACCTCCTATAGAAGGACTTAATTGACCTTTTTATGAAAGTTCGAGGACCTATTTGACTGTTTTCCCAATTAGTTTTTTTTAGTTGGACTGATTTTAATTGTAGACTAGATCAAACTTATATAGATCAGGCATAATCAAATCAAATTAAATTTAGACAATATTGAAATACTCATAAAAAAACATCTAGAGGTGGGACTTTGGAATAGAGAACTAGAAAACCGAACGGGACCAAACTTTTATGACCCGATTCGGTTCCAACATTTATTAGTTATTTGTTAATCGTTTGGTTTCTATTTCTTATTAACTGTTCAGTTTTTGGTTCGTAAAAAAATATGTACTTAAAACCATTATGCGTAGTACTAGGTATATAATAATCAAAATGTTATATATTACTTGTTAAATAGTTATTTTTAGTTTTATTTACTAGAATATTCAATTTGTTAGGTACTTATTTTTAAAACTTAATTTTTGAGGTTTGGAGTGATGGTAAACATATTTGTATTTCTTGTAATTTCATTTCAAATGTTGAATGTCTTTATGACACAAATGTACCGATCATTTGTAAGTTTTTTTTTTTAATAAAAAAACTAGGAACCATAAAATGACATGAACTGAACCAATAAGGAATGTTCGGTTTCATATCGATTCTATTAATAATTTATAAGAATCGAATCCTTATTAAAATTTGATATTTTTCAAATGGTTCTAACTTCTAACTATTTTGCTTAGGAATCGAATCGGTCTAAGGCCTAAAGACATCTATCTAACCAACTAGACAAGTTTAACCCATTAAAAAAGATCATCCTTATTTCCCATTAATATGTCATCTTTGAACTTGATTATTATGTCATGTATGATCTGGATCTTTAAAATACAGCTTGCATTTGACCTGGACCAACACAATAAAAGAATTAGAGGTATGAGAGATGTGCTGTAGTGCTGTATGGAATGACTACGGTACCCTCAAAATTGCATTAGTTTATAGGTATAGGGTATACGCGTAAATGCGTAATCCAATTCAGGAAAACTTTAAGTTCAACTGTTGTTTAGTAACTTGTACTCCGTAACTACTAATCATTGGATTTAGATTAGTTGCGCGCTAATCGTAGATATGTGAAGTAAACGATGAGACTTTAGAATTTACTAATCATTGGAGCAAACGTAGTTACTAAGCGTTGTTTAGACTTTAGAATTTAGATATCAAACCCCAATGAGTCTTAAAAACAACGATGAGACCAGACGAAAATCAGGGACAACGCTTCAATGTTTTTTTTGAACGAAAACCCCCCCATATATTATGATTACTATGATTCGGATGGTTCTAACAAGATTAACACTGACAACAATTATTCATAACCAATTAGCACTATCAATCACATGACTAGACTTGGAAACGATTAGCCCTAAAAGAGCAATACGAATCGCTAACCACCAAACAGGTGTGACACAGTAATCACTGGTCATATAAATCCTTCTAACGACATAATATCTAGCAGAATTGTCAAATCAAAAAATCAAAAAAAATCATACTCCTTCAATCATATTTCGTATCCAACTTCATCAATTTTTAATCTCCAATTCAATTACTAACTTTTTTATCGCAAAGAGTTTCTCATGTTTCCCTTTAAATAAAAAATGATGAAGTCCTTCCAAACAAGCGTTGTTTTCTCATGTAATAGGCATGTTTTATCGTAACTTTTTTTATCTCCAATTCAATTACTAATTTTTGATTTTATTTATTTTTCTTACTCTGCACAACATCAATTACATAATTTTTATTATTCCAATTTCACGTTCAATTCAAACATAATAATGTCCAAA